GAGCATTCCTACACATGCTCATTGTATCAGAGGATGCGCTATCATGGACCACTTTCCTGCATCTAACTGTTGTGGTGGCACGTTAACTAACAAATTAAATGCCAAAACAACTAAACTGAATACTGAATTGACTTGGAGAATCGTTCTAATTTGGCTATTTTGGCCTATATTTTTACTAAATTCACTTTGAATGCATTTTAAATTCCTGACAATTCTCATTTCAGTGAATATCCATGTAAATGCTATTGACTCTATACAGCACTCTTGTGTTCGAGAAAGGTGCCTGCTAACATGTTCTTTTGTGAGATTTATCAACAGTCCCCAACTCTTGCATGCACAGAACCAAGTATCCACAAAGAAATCTTCCCCTAATAAAATTAAATAAATACATAGATAAAAAGTACAGTCACAGAATGAAAGTAATGTATTTTGTGACATGGATACATAGAACTTAGGGGACAAAGTCTAGCTTGTATATAATTATTGATCTGGCCTGGAAGGAAGCCAATAAGTATTCGACCTCTGGCTTCTCACAGAGTTATCCTTCAGCTCTTAGGAGAGAAAAACTACCAGTGGAGGAACCATGGTTTGAACGACCATCTGTCCTTATGGGCATTAAGAGGTGAATGCAGTGTGGATCCTATATCAAAAATATGGTAGACAGACAGACATTTACATGTGTAGAAAGCTAGACAACCTTATTCTTCCTACACCTGCTCCATATGGATATGAACTTCCATAATATAGCACACACCAAGCATTTCTGGATGGCTCCCTCACCGAAGAAGCATGCAAAGGGTATAAAGCGGCAACTAAAAATATAAAATTCCCAGCTCTAAATGTGAGATCTAGGGTAGTCAAGCTCCAAGTTTCCAAACACAACCGTGTGAGGCACAGATCTGTAGGCCGATGAGATGGACATGTCAGGGGCATAGATGCATGCGCGAAAATTAATGGATTGTAAAAAGATTTATAGCAAAAGATACCCTTATAAAAATCACAGAAATGGAATTACTAGAATTTTACAACTAGAGTCTCTGGGACGGGGGTGGGTGGGAGAAGGTGTTTAGAATAGAAAAAGAGTCTTGATAGTTGTTATTCATTTAATATCAAAAAGAAAACTTCATAATATCCAATCCAGTATTATCTACCACTCCTTATCCAGTACCCCTTACCCCTCCCCCCAAGTTATTTCGCCTCAAATTATATTTCTTCTGTCATTTTCATCCATGTTTACCAATACATTCAGTAGAAACAAGTTGCAAAGTGTTAACAGCTAAACTGGAAAACTACCAAGGACAGATATTTTTCAACTCTACCCCTTTGGCTTAACAAACCATTGTCTGAAAATGTATTTATAAACAGGTTGTACATAGGACAAAGAGTCACATATTTAGACTGAAAGAAGAAAGGAGATTTAGAAGAAAGGACATTTAGTCTAATGCTAAAGGAAACCGCAAGGATGTGGAATTCTCTGTCTGTAGAGGTGGTTTTATCAGAACCTGCACAGATGTTTAACCCCTTAAGGACCAAACTTCATGTCATGTGTCCTTAAGGGGTTAAACAGCGACTGGATGAATACCTGCAAAAGCATAGTACTCAGACATATCATTTTTAATAAGTGAGGTAACCAGCTTCTTCATCCAAGGAGAGATCTGACTGCCATTCCAGGGATGAGAAGGACATTTTCCTAGTCTGTTGCAAATTTGGAAAGTGCTTCAAAACTGGATATTTTTTTTCCTTTTTTTGGATCAACGGTCGAAACAGCTGTTGCTGTTTTTCTTTTGGATGGTGTTTTTTCTTGTTGCATACCTGCCAGATGTCCCTATTTAGGAGAGACAGTCCCCATTTTGTATCCAAATCCTTCTGCCCTTCTTTTATATCCCAATGTTCCTCTTTTCTAGGGGCTCCATATTGTTGGTGTGTCTAAGTGTATGACAGAGCTCCACATCAATCATACTCACAGTAATGTGTTTTTTAAACTACAACAAATGTGTTTATAAATCAGTCTGTGTAAATAAGATACATTGTTCTTGTTCTAAATTACATTTTAATCACATAAAAAGTTATTAGTAATTAATCTAACATTTTCAAAACAGCCCACCCCCTGGCCACACACCCATTCACACCCCTAAATTGAAAGTGCTCCTCTTCGTCCCTTAGAAATGTTGGGAGATATGCTCTATGCCGATGTCTGTTTGCAAAAGATCACACTTCTAGGCTGTTCTCTTGCTTGCCTTCAACGCTCATAAACATGCACACATTAATGAGATACGTGCATCGGGAGTATCGAGAAAAATCAAGACACATGAGTTGAGTCAAATAATGCTTAATTTAGACACCTGGCCAATAAAAAAAAAGTATTTGATTAAGAAATTTTAAAAATGACTGGTTCACTTTAAGTAAAAGAGAAGACAACACTATTTTTAAAGGACACAACTCTTTTAGATAGTCCAGTGAGATTTTATAACTACAGCGGGCAATATAGTTGAGTCCATTTTTGCCATTTCCTTCTAAATAAGATCTTGTTTCATGGCATCAAAGTCCAGTGAGGATCCATTCCGGATTTCCTACGGGAAGGACCTCGCTCTGTTCCCGGGCATGCACTTTAACCCCTCCGATCAGATGACTTCAAAAGAAGCGGAGCACCAATATCCCTCGGCGCTGGATTATTAAATTTTTTTAACCCTTTGCATGCTGGGGGCAGAGAAGAGGGCTCTATAGTGTAAGGCATACAACTTTGTATAATATTTGAATTTAAAAAAAATACATTTAGAGGTCAAAATATCGATCATGTTTATGTAATGCTTGTAACTTGATTGCTTCTGGTTGCATATGCTTAGCAAGAGTGCCAAGCACTGTGTAGAGATATATACATATTATATGGATTAAAAGGGATTTTTGGCATAACCTTTATAATTTGCATTCCATGATTGGCTAACCTGCACAGCCTCTATACTGCTTTGTCATTTCAAAAGCATTCTCAAGGCATGCAAAGCATCATAGGAGTTGTAGTTCTACAACATCTTGGGATATACCTTTTTTACTCTTTCTTCTATTTTGCTACTCACCCTAGTTTAAACCTCAATAGCATTTATGGTGCGACAGAATGAGGGGCTTTCGGTTTCACTTGAAAGTGTGATTTGTAAATCCTGAAATACAGACAAAACCCTTAAATTGATGATTCTGCATAACTCTATTATAACCAAGCTCCATCCAAGAGTTCAATAAACCACAGGCACTCAGCCATTACCTGCTCCATTGATGTAAATTATCCAGCCTTACCAGTGACCTCGATGAGCAAATGGAACAAGATAACTCAACTTCCCTTTATATGGGTGAAGCTCGAGCTATGGAACATTAAAGAGTCGTCTATCTACTGAAAGATGAGTGGCGTAGAAGAACTGATGAAAGAAATGGAATCAGCAAAGAAGAAGCTAGACACGTAATGTGATTGGAAAATGAAGTTGAGTCTGATATGTCAATGCAAAAAACACTACGTCTAAAATACTTTTTATTAAACAGCGATTACATAATTGATCAGCAAACCTATTGATTACTTTACCAAGGTGCAGTCTCGGTGGAATGCTTCAAGAAGAATTTTAAGGATGATCTAGAAGAATGAGGAGAATTCAAAAGAAATCTGGAGGCAAATGGAAACTGGAATAAGGATTTAACAGGGAAATGTCTATAGGGGAAATTATCTACATAAATTCTTAGCAAAATACTAATCAATACTTTGTTAGAGCAGTATCACTAGCATCCGTTGAAAAGGCAGTGTTGATAGAACAGAATTTCTACAATTCTCTCTAAGTTTGGATACAATGTGCTATCAGCAAGCAGAGACATTTCATACCAAAGCCTGAGAAGTATCCGTTTTACAGTGTGCCAATTGCCACAAAGGTGTTATAGGTCCTCAATGCTTCGTCAATGATCTCTGAAGAGGAGGGCGGCTGCCAGCAAGAGACTTTCTGGAGTTGTATAAAATGTGCGATTAATGGCTTTTCTTTGTTGGTTGGGGGAGGAAGTTGGTAGCTGTATCTAAAAGTACTAAGGAACACTCTAACCTTTTAAAGTGTTTTTTTATTTTTTATTTCATAACACTGGCATTTAAGAGAAGCTTTAAAAAAAAACAAAAAAACAGGCATACGACCCAGACAAAGAAATACACTGGAAGACCAACATGTGGAAGCAGAATATTACCTCTAAGTAAAGTATTGGAAGGATTCTCTTTGACCATTATAAAGGAGGATCAAACATGCCATGCAAAAGGGACACTACAGCTCAGGGACGGACTGGGGATACAAAGCAGCCCTGGAAAAAAAAAAATCTTTGCCAGCCCCATAAGTCATTGCGCCATATATTGCCGTATGTAATATGTAAGGCAATGTCTTGCCACCCCAGATGGTTGAGATATATATATATATATATTGCTTTTTTCTAATATATAATATTGGTCCTTTCAGAGAAAAAACGTTTAATTATAGAGTAAGCATACTCACATGCAGACACAATCTCACTGACACACACAAGCTCATTGATACACAGCCTCATAGACAAACAATGTTACTGATATACATAAGCTCATTGGCATAAAAACACAAGCTTACTCACTCACTAACAGGCACACACATGCAAGCAAGCTCACTCACTAGCAGGCGCACACACACAGCTTAATGTAGTGTTTTTGGTGTCTATAGCCTGCCCCTGCAGGATTTTCAGAGAAATGGCAGTGTTTACATTGCTTCCTAGTGACACCTCTAGTGACAGTCACTCAGACAGTCACTAGAGGTGCTTCCTGTGTCAGTGTTGCACAGTGTGCAGTACCTACATTCAGGGCCTTTGCAGCCAATCCTATGGTAGAGCATTGGATTGGCTGAGATCATCATGCTTGATGATCTCAGCCATAGAGGCAGGGCCAGTCGAAGGGGAGACCAGCACGGCATAGGGAGAAAAAAAAAATGAGTAAAAACACTTTTTAAATACACACAGACACACACCATGACACTGTGTCATGATGTGTGTCTGTGTCATGGTGTGTGTTGGACACAGACACACCATGACACAGACACACATACACACTGACAGAATTACACATATTACCTGTGGGTGACCGGCTTGGTGTACTAGTGGCTGCTGGGTGAGGTCTGCTGGCGACCGTGGCGCAGGGGGAGGTCTGCTGGCAGCCACTGGGGAAGCTGGCTGTTCTGTCTCTACTCCCCCGCCCTCGTGCGCCGCTTAATGAGACCGGGGCCGGAATATGATGTCCGAATTGCCGAAGTGACGGATTTCGTAAGTGACGAACCAAATATTTTGCCCATGCACATCCCTAGTCAACTCTCTTAGCCACACAATCCAAAGTTTCGGAATGTGTCCATTTCTTACAACCCATACAGAGGAGGATTTCTTCTCACTAGAATGTGTCTAGCGAACACATGAAAAATTCCCAAAGTTCTAAGCCAGTTAAAAGCCAATTACAAAAAAAAAAAATATGTTTATGCTTGGCCCAGCTGAGCGCCGTATTTTATCTATGAAGGAAAAAATATTATAATGGGTGATCTGAAGATGGGTGATCTGAAAAAGACACTCAGCAGTTTATTTATGGAGAGCCATTTAAAAGAAAATGTGCAAAACTGGAGCCCATAATGTCCAGAGCTGGAAAGCACTTTGCAAGGCAGTTATATTTCCCAGTGAGGCTATTTCATCCTAAAATTTGCAAATACAGATTTGAGTTCACCACACTTGTGTTTTCCTATGATTTTAAGAAGATAGAGAGAACGTTTGCATTTTGCGATACAAAGCATAGACGTCGTACTTCATACATTAGTAATACAGAAAAAAAATTAAAAATAAATAAATAAGAGGATAAAAAAAAAAGGTCGTCAGCAGACCAGGAAGACCATTAGGTGAAAATGTATTCAGATCTGTGGGCGACGAAAATCTGCCCTTCCATGCAATCTTTATATTTCTATATGCAGGCGTATTAATTCAATCACAGTTATAAAAATGGAGCTCATCTTGCATAAGCAGATAAATTATTAGAAAGGGAATAAATCACTAGCACGTAATGTGATGCCAACAGGATTCAATGCAATTTACAGATAAATATGAGAAATGACTGTAGCTTTTACTGAATTAAAAGTGGCAAAAGTTTTCAGATGACAAATGATTAGCTCCAACTGCACGTTCATTTGCAAACTAAAAAGGTGAAGAGGCATTAGTTGGAGCCTGAAAAAAAAAAAAAATCTTATTTATTTTCCCCCACTTCCTGGTGAAAACTAATTACTTTTTAAGGGGAAAACCTTGCATCTTGTAGGTCCCAATGTGATTAAATAACGACAAAGGGCATTTATTTTTAAAAACTATTATTTTAATCATAGAAAACCGTTTTGCAGACTATACAGTGTAATCAAACACTATTACATAAATAATCAGCAAATTGTGAATTATGGGATGAATGACAGAAGCTTGCTATTGAAAACAAAATTATTTTAGAAGCGACTGCCAGCTGCTTTCAGCAGAGATTGTATTGCGTACCTACCAAGTGTCCCAGATACAGCAAGACACTCTCAATGTAGGAGCAGTGCCCTGCCAGGCAGATTCCCCCCACCCCCGCCCCTCTATTCAACTGCTTTCAGGAGATTAAACAAAAATCACAAGCAAATTATTAAACAAAAATCACAAGCAAATTATTTAAGATCCATATATTTCACCTCCAATGTTTGGAGGTGAAATATATGGATCTTAATATCCGCATGAACAGTAACTGTTTGATAATACTTAATCACCCTACGGTATTGTAAAAAAAATATTAGAACGGAAAGGAAAATGGCCACAAAAGGGTGGATGAAAATATCTCATCGATGAGAGTCGTCAGGTTAACAAGTTACTAAAGCACTTTTGGAAGTGGAGTCTAAATGGTGTCTCAGAACATTGGAGGTTATTTATCAGTTTAACAATTTTCTGTTTTAAAAATAGGTGCAAAAATGTAAAAGGGAGGAATACCTGATGGAATGTGCCTACTGAGTCCATTGGTTTCCTTGATGCTTCACCTACTTTTAGTATTTTAGAACACTGTAATAAATAGAAGAAGATGGGCTACAGAAGGAACATACAATGAATTGTATTTCTATCATCCAAGAACAGAAAGATGGGGATCTAGAGGGCACCAAGTTCACCAAAACTAGGAAACGAAACAACGACGACGAAAAATGTTCCTTATCCTGAAAATCTTGATTTTGGCTGTGATTTGTATTTGCCAGGGCTTATTCATGGTTGTGGGGAATATTTTCTCAACACACAGTTTAAAACTATTTACACAAACTCAGCTTCTGGTGGATTATACAGCACTCCTATTGGTTGTTATTGGCCACGTGTCCCCCTTTATGGTTACAGCTAATGTTCAAAGGACTAATTTAATTTGAGTTTCACAATGTTTTGCTTAACTTCAGACTGGTTTTATGAACATGTTTGTGCCCTGTATAGTCCTAGATCTGAAGCCAGTACAACAGAGATTAGATAGGAGGGAGGTTAGCAGAATGTAGGTAAAATGTCAAACCCAAACCAGCAAGAGATCAATAACGGGAGTTTGCAATTTATTGTAGAAAAAAAAAGTTTGTAAAAATTTCGAGGGAATTTTGTGCCAGTTTTGATTATATAGTCCCTCTTGTGTCTGCTTTTTTACTTACATAGCACATGTAGAAAGAATGTGTATGGGATGTTTTGGTCTAACAATAACACTCTAATTAGACATCTCCAATCTTAGAATTTGGATCAGGGTTGGCCCGAGGCTACCAGCTACACTTGGCAAACAATATAACTATCCCTGGAAGTATATCAATAACTGTGGTCCCAGGCACTATGTAAATGTATCTGACTTAGTATTCATAAGTAATAAATATTGTATAGACACAAATTCTCAAGAGATATACAAGTTTCTATGTGCCGTTTGGACGCGTGGATGCTAAAACTAAACATTGTATACTATACACAATATATATTCGTGTCTTATCACCCTTTAACACCCTGGTATATCTTAATCTCTTACTTCCCCCTTACTCCTTATTGCCATTTTGTGCATCTTCAGCCTCGTTAGAACATTGTACTTACCTTTTGCATCTCTTAACTCTCGTGTGTATTTTATCAGCCCTTTTGAAAATCTTGCCCTGTTGCTCCCTATCCCTCCATTTGACCCTTTTGTCTCTGCTACCCCCTTTTGTGTTACTTACCACTGCTTGTGTCTTTTACACCCCCCTTTCGTGTTTCTTACCACAAACGTTTTGCCAATTAATTTTTTGTCTTGTTACCTTGTGTGATTCCCCCTTACTCTATGTCCTAACGTAGAATAGGCTCAATGTAGAAATGTTTCTTTTTTCTCAGCCCAATCTGGTAGAGAGCTGCTTTTACAATGCAGGAAGTAGCCAGAGTGGCGAGATAAGACTGAGCGGTTATATTCTAATTATTTATAAAGCGCCAACAAATTCTGCAGCACTGTACAATGGTTATAACCATACTTGTTACACTCTCTGCAGGCAGTAAGCAGCTCCCTGGCCGAATAAAGAACATTTTCTACCACTGCTCCACGACGTCAGACAACAAAGAGTGATGGTGCACCGTGCATGTCCTTCACGCAAAACACCTGAGGAAGACAGCCCCCCAATATTTTTTTCTCTCGTTTTCAACTTTATACAAATACAAGTATACACACATTATATAGGATCTAGATATATATACATACACACACTAATCTACATAAATATTATATGATATATACATACACACATATACATAATATATATATATACACACTAATCTATAAAGAAAATAAAAAGATTTTTATTTTTCTATTCATATAATCGCCACACGCAGTTCGCATTATTTCAAATCTTAATTCTTCTATCTCCCATTTTTAGCATCTACCTCTTGAAAAAGCTCCCAGCTGCTTCACTCCTGCCATCAACGTTCTCTACAAATGGAAGTTCTGTACTTTTATTTTCATTCCAGGTTATACGAGTAGAACAGAAATAGAATCTTATTGGTCTCTGTATGGCTTCCCTGTAGGATACCATAAATAACAGTTTAACCAAAGGCTGCTTAGAAGCCAAAGCAAAAGAAAAGAAAAACTCCCTGGGTATAAATCTAAAACCTACACGATATCTCCATGACCTCTACTGTACATAGTCTTTTACTGCTCGCACAGCTGCAGACTGGTACCATTGTGTGGCTGTATTAACCCCTTAAGGACACAACTTGGGGTTTTGTTTTTGTTATTGAATCTGTAAGCATGCCATCAGCTTTCATCTTACATCTTTCCGTACTACTGTCTAGTTTCGAGGACTTCGTATGTCAATCAATTTTTACTACTTAGAAACCTTTTCCAAAAAGTATTTTATTAAAATAAAATGGTCACTGAACTGGAATAACACCATTTAATAAAATATTTAAAGATCACATATAACATCTGTTAAGCTTTTTATAATGTGATGCACCAAATTATTTTAAATTTATGTTACAAATTTAGCAAATGACTTCATAAGATCAGTCAAGGCACAGGCAGGGCACAAAATGCAAATGAGGAAAAGAAAGAGAATCATTGTTTAATTTCTCATCTGCTCTGTATGATTTTGCTATGCTAACTTTCAGGTGCAAAGGACAGAGCTTATAACAATGATTGACAGAAGATAAGATGAAGGCACCTCGTAAGATAATTTCTAGATTTGTTTTTTGCATCATACACATACATATTTGTTAAAACTAGGAGACAGATAAACATTGTATTAAGTATCCTTTTAGGTGCCCTGATGGTAGTGTGGATGGTGGGTGTTTTATAGGCTTGATGGAAAGCGGCATTTCAACACAACAGTGCACTGCTTGGCTTTTCACCGGGCAAAGTCCTTTTTATTGGTTTAGTGTACGGGCCTATGGTGGGATGGCCTCTTGCCATTTGGTGGCAATAATGTTGCACAGTGACAAAGTGCTAAATGTTCTAGTGATCCACACTGAAGATAATGGCATGGACCAGCAGTCTCAGAGGGACCTGGTTTGGAGAATGAGGGCAAATATCTTTAAGGTATGGGAGTTGATATCATG